ATAGAGGTTGGCTGAAGCAAGCTCACGTGTGTGTGTGCGTGCGCACACACACACACACGCAGTGCTTGTTCAGGCCATGCTTGGGCTTCCAATCCTTGGAGTCATCAGCAAAGTCATGTACCCTTTGAACTATGCCAGGTCGCTTCAATAATCCCTCCCCTAATGTACCCACTGGGTGGGGACACACACATCAACCTCTGCGACAATAGGGCAGGTCAGGTTCCAGGCCACAACTGAGTGATGAAGCAAGGGAAGAGCTGAGGTCATGGCCACCAGTGCTGGAAAGGGTGGGCAGGGCACATCCGTTTCTGTGAGTCTAGTGGATCCCGTGTAATAAATTACTAGGTTTTTTTTTTTTTTGGGGGGGGGGGTCACTAGATTTGTTGGCCAATCAGGGCATGTCAGCAGTGTTTAAAGTTAAGTCGGAGCCAGTGTAATGCAGGTGCAAAAGCCAGGCAGTGCCTTTTTCCTGGTCTAAATCCAAAATTGTTTATTAAATGTTGAAAATTGGATGGAATCAAATCGGACCTCTCCTTCTATGACAGGGGAACTGAAGGACACCACAAAAACTTGCGTTTTGCTCCATATTCCCGCTTCTATTCTTGTTAGGACCTGCAACCCCACTTTACACATGCCTCAGAACGCAAATAGTATAACAGTGTATGTCCCTGTGAGGGACAAGGAGTTAATGATTTCTCTAGAACAGATCAGTAGGACCAGGTGAGAATGACCGGACAAAGCCATCCCATGTGCATTCCAGACCACGGGTACTAGACATCTCATCGCCAAGACCCCTTAGATCCAAGGGATAACATGTGGGCCCTTGTCTTTGTTCTAACCAGTTCCTGGATGCCTGAGGAGACTCATGGCATCAGACCATGATCCACAATACAAAGACCCCAGACCCTAAATAAAGAAAGGGTTCATGCTCCTTTCCTTCCCTAGTTGCCCCAGATGCTCTGTCTGTATCTGCTCTGTCTTTATCTTCAATAAATTCTGCTCTCATCTCCTGCTGGCTTGTGTTTGAAGCCAAGGACCTTCCAGGCTGAGGGTCCCCCTCTGGGTCCTTGGTCCCAGTCTGCTGGCATCACTTCTCCTCTTGTAGAGAGTGAGTGTGGTCTTAGGGCATACCTCAGAGATATCCTGTAGCTTCTATAGTTCCCATACGATGTGCTCATGGTTGGGGGCGGCCTCTTCCAGTCAATATCCTAGGTATTAGGGCACATCCTCCACCAACTGGAGTACTATCTTATTGACCTTAGGGGGCCAGGCCTAACTTGAGAGTGGAGATGCCCTTTAGCATAATTACTAAATGTGGGTCCATTTTACAATTATCTCCATTGGGTTATGGTGACATTAGGCCCTTTACAAAGGCTCCAGGGTAAAACATTCAGATCAAATTTTTTTTTATTTTTTTAAAGCTTTTATTTATTCATTCACGAGAGACACAGGGAGATAGGCAGAGACACAGGCAGAGGGAGAAGCAGGCTCCATGCAGGGAGCCCGATGTGGGTGGGACTCAATCCCGGGACTCGAACCTGCGACACCAGGATCACGCCCTGGGCCAAAGGCAGACGCCAAACCACTGAGCCACCCAGGGATCCCCCAAGAAAGGTCTTTCTTCAGATCGCCTCTGAGCCCTTAGACTATTCTCCATAACCACTCCCAAAATGATTCTAGAAGGAAGAGGAAAATGAAATGGAAACGGACACCCCAAACTTGATTTAATTGGAAATTCAAAATTTTACTGAAATCATTTACACAATTAGAATATGAAAAGGGCACCAGTTGGCTCTTGTGTCTAAATGATACTGCCTTGGAATTAACTTCAACTTCTGCTGAGATGTGCGGATTGGCCTGCAAATCTGTGGTCCTCAAATAAGTAATTATAGGCCCGTTGGACTTATGGACATGGATGTGCAATTTCAGTCTGCTCCAGCACTCACAGCCATGAGCAAGGTCCTTTTCCTTGCTCTAAAGTGTATTCATGGCATGAAAAAGAGCCCTAGTTCTAACCCCAACTCCTACCCCAGCCCTAACCCCCACCCTTTTCCCAACTCTCAAAATGCAACCTGAACCACAGGAACCTGGGAACCTGGGGTGTCGCGTAACCTTACACTGGCCCCACCCTAACACAGCCGCTTTGACCTCTGGTGTGCCGTTGCCACAAAGGCCAACTCTGTCCTTTGTCCCGCTGCCCTCATTCTTAGCTAGTAGTCCCACCCAGGCTGGCACCACAAGCTGGAGGCAAACTGGCAAGGAGCCAGGCTTGCTGGCTGCCCCAGGTTGGAAGGGGTGGTCTCAGCCGGTGTGTGCTCCTGGGCTCTCCCTCCCATGTGTGTTGATAGCATCACAACTTGGGTCAGGGGGAACAGTGTCATTGAGGAGAAGTGCTATGGGAAGAGTACGGGTGTTGTATTTTATTATTCAAAGCAGAAATTGCTCATTGTACTAATTGCAAAATAAGTATCTGTTGTTTTAACAATTCATTAGATTAAAAGTCAGTCCTGGGATCCCTGGGTGGTGCAGCGGTTTGGCGCCTGCCTTTGGCCCGGGGCGCGATCCTGGAGACCCGGGATCGAATCCCACGTCGGGCTCCCGGTGCATGGAGCCTGCTTCTCCCTCCGCCTGTGTCTCTGCCTCTCTCTCTATCATAAATGAATAAAAAAATTTAAAAAAAAATTAAAAAAAAAAAGTCAGTCCTAACTCATCATCTAGAAATTGGTAGCATGTGGTGCATCTCCTTGCAGACACCCTGTAAATCAGGGGTCCTCCATGGGTTCCATCCCAGGCACCATGCCATGATCTCGGGAGGCCCCCACCTCCACTTCATCCTTCATCTTTTTTTTTTTTTTTTTTAGCAAGCAGGAGAACGATCCCAGCAGTGGTGCCTAGCAGCTGAGACAGGAGCTGAATTTGGGGCAACTCTCCCTGCTGAGTGCAGAATTCCCATCAGAGGTTGTTCACTGTCAGGCAAAACCTGAATGAAATCCTGAGCTCACTGTTGAACAATTCTGCTTGTTGCACCTCAAGCCCTAGAGAAGTCAATTCACGTGTAGTAAATGTTAATACACGCTTGGTGAATAAAGCTTATTTTAGTAAGAGTTTATTTTAGCAGAGAAGATATGTTAAAAAATCTTTTAATAAATCCAATTATATCTCCATAACAATGTATATTATGGTATATGATCATTCTGAGGTGTGCCAAGAAGGTAAAAATCAGCATCCAGCCCTGATTTTTTGAAGTCTTAGCAAACTAGGTCTATAAAGACAGTTCAAAAAAAAAATAAAATAAAGACAGTTCATTAACCTGGTAAACAAGCAGTCATGGCCAACAGTGGCATCTCACCGAAGAGTGAAATAGTAGATCTGTCTCCTTTCAAGTCCAGAGAAAGACCCACATGCTGTGCCAATGAGGAATGAAACAACTGTGAGGAATGACAAATGGACTTAAACTGTTTATTTTCTTACACAAGAACTCAGAAAGTTGAATGTTGGTGGCTGAAACAGTTGCTCAAGAATTTCATCTAAGGCCTAGGATCCTTCTATTTTTCCACTCCACATGTGACTTTTGTCCTCAATTGTCTCATGATGCAAGATGGCTACTATACCTCTAGGCATTGCATCCAAGTTCCAAGTAGGAAGAAGGGGACAGGGAAGGAATACAAAACAAAGACTTCCCCAAAACTCTGGCAGATTTCCACTTGAGCCTTATTGTTCAGAACTGGGCCATGTGGTCACCCCAGCTGTAACAGAGTCTTTAGAGGCCAAAGTGTTTTGGGGTGACATAATGGCCCCCCACCTCAAATAGAGTCTGCCACTGATGACCACTGCCACCAACACTGAGTGCTGCTTTAGAAGTGCTAGCCAATGTAGGTTTTTAAAAGAAACAAAATAAAAGGCTCTCTGTATGAAAAGGAGTGGCAAGCTTTTTATTTCCAAGTTATATGAGTTTACCTAGAAAGCCCAATAAAATGTTAGAGACCTAGAATAATTCAATGAAGTTGCTAGATATAAAATAAATATACAAAAAGATATATACAATCAACAGTTGCCCTATATAAAACAGAAAGACTTGACTTAGAAACCCCACAAAATTAGAATGAAGTTAATAAACATACGTACTGAACATATATGTAAGAACATCTATGAAGAAAACTAAACAGCTTTTCTGATGGTTAGAGACAGATTTGAATGGTACTTTGATGAGAAGATTGAATATTGTATAGAACTATAGGAATTCTTCACACACTAGTCAGTTCTAGTCAAACCCCAATGAGATATGCAGGTGCAAAAAGAGGTTGAACTCAGAAGAATAATCTTGGGTTATCTGAAAGAATTAGATTTTTAAAAAACCTTTTAAAAAACCCACAGAGGGCAGCCCCGGTGGCGCAGTGGTTTAGCGCCGCCTGCAGCCTGGGTGTGATCCTGGAGACCTGGATTGAGTCCCGCGTCGGGCTTCCTGTATGGAGCCTGCTTCTCCCTCTGCCTGTGTCTCTGTCTCTCTCTCTCTCTGTGTCTCTAGGAATAAATAAACAAAATCTTAAAAAAAAAAAAAAAACCCACAGAAAGTACTGTCCTGGTCCTACTACATATAAAGTGAATTATGAAGCTACAAACAGAAAAGAGGTCTAAGAACAGTGAGGAATGCCATTCTAGAATGATGCAGGGACCTTGGAAGTTACATCCCAAACAGATGGATATAAGAGTTCAATGCAAAATATGGAACCAAAAAAGGATTTATTTTTTATTTCTTTTATTTTTTTAAAGATTTATTTATTTATTCATGATAGACATAGAGAGGCAGAGACGCAGGCAGAGGGAGAAGCAGGCTCCATGCCAGGAGCCCGACGTGGGACTCGATCCCGGGACTCCAGGATCGCGCCCTGGGCCAAAGGCAGGCGCCAAACCGCTGAGCCACCCAGGGATCCCCCAAAAAAGGATTTAAAGAAGGGGCTAAAAAAAAAAAAAAAAAAAAAAAAAAAAAAAAAAAAAAAGAAGGGGCTAAGGGCCAAGAAAAAATATAAAGAAACAAACCAAAAAGACCAAGTTACACAGAATCTGAACATCTCTGTTCATTAAAAATGTGGTAACAAAGGTAAAAATGTATGTGCCAAGGCACTGTGTGTATAAAGAACAAAGAATGGAAGAGACAATTCATATGAAGAGAAGAAAAAGGTCAAAAAACACAAACCAATAATACTCTTGATGTATGAAAATGGTAAATATAAAAAGTGGAGATGATGCCAAGTGTGTGCAAGTGTGCAGGGAAAGGGGTGCTCTTGGAGCCCATGTGGGAGAATGAAAAATGTCGTGCTGGGTTTGACCTAGAAAGAGCTTTGTGGTGTCTGTGAACTCTGCCTGTGAATTCTACTTCTCAGAATTTATTCTGAGGAAATGATCGAAGGGCAGAATGGGTTTCTGTTCGAGAATTACAATAAAGGAACAGATCAATCATGACACTGGTAAAACACAGCCATCAATAATGTTTCTGAAAAATATTTTGTAATATGGAAAACACTCATCATAAAACATTTCCCATTTATGGGAAAAGACAGAATTAATGTGCAAAGTATGAATCTAGTTTTGCTTAAAAGCAAAGGCATAATATATGTGCACAGAAAAAAAGACCTTGACATAAGTGTACCTCTGGCAGTGGCCTATGAACTGATACTGAAGGGTCCTTGCATTCTTAGGATTTTTTTAATTTTTTCCAGATTCCTGCAGTATATACATATTGTTTGTATAATCATGAAAAAAAAGTTTTATGTAAATGAAAGAAAAATATCAAATCTCCAATGATAAGAGGGAAGAGGGTATATTCAAATCATTTTCAGTACAAAAGACCAAGAATCAAAACTTGTTCAATATTCATCCTCATTAGTTATTGAAGGTGCAAAGTAAAGTGATAATAAGGTGCCACTCAGCTGAGTACATAGAAGCACCACAGGGTTGACAGCAGGCACGGTGTCCAGAGCTCCACAGAGATGTTTTAAGTTCTTTTGAAATAAGAAAATTGAGTATGAAAATAATGACCTAAGCCCAGATTGTATTTGTCCTTTTACAAAAGCAGCTGTAAAACAGGACTTTTCCTATTTGGCACAGAAGGCCCCACGACTGCCATGATGTGGCCCTGGGGACCGTGTAATGGGAGGCTGGCTTGCACACACTCTGGAGGAATGCAGTGGAGTTGCAGATGCCCAGGAGCATCGCTGTGTTGTTACTGTGCCCTGAACGAAGGCTGTCTGGACAGCCAGCTTCGAGCAGGGAGTCCTCCGTCTTGGGGAGGTGCTGTGCAGGGGACGTTCCCAGCTGACCACTATTGCTGACTGATTGCTTCATATGAAATGGTATTACTTTTGCACACTACCAAAATCATACGAAAATGATTCCTGAAGCTGTTCATTTCCTTTATCTCAAAATTTTCACTTTTTAGAATCTAAGAAAATGCTTAAGAAGTATAATGCCAAAATATGCTCTATGAAGAATGGTTTATAATGGTGAAGTGATCTATAATAAAAACATGGAAATAACTTCAATATCCAACAAAAGAACATCCAATAGAATACTCTGCTTCCATTGGGAAGTATAACTCCAGACAGTTCAATTACTTGGGAAAAAAATTCTGCTATGCAGCTAGGTGGGGGGGGGGGGAAGGTTAAAAAGATATATACACTGTATGCGGTAATGTAAAAATCCACTTTGAAACCAGCAGAAGGTAATGTATCAAAGTGCGAAATGCAGTTTACTAGGAATTATGGGGGCCTTTTTCCTTAATTCCACATTTCCTGAAATGTGGTGATTTTGCTGCCATAATTTAAAAAGTATACAAAAATCATTTCATAAACTATAGCTCTCTGTATAAATGTAAAGTATTGTCACTGAGAAAGCAGCTTAGACTTGCTTAGGACCAAGCAGAAGGAACATTAATTCCAGGTGAACATTACCCACCTCTGCAGGGAGCACAGGGGCAGGTCCCATGGACGAGCTCCTCCCGCAGGGCTGAGCCAGTGTGCTGAGCTCACTGGAGCAGAGGGAGGCGCTGCAGGATGAAGGCGCGCTTCCTAGACACGTCTATCCCAACACCACACCTGGACGGACGCTGAACAGGTGGCCAGGCTCGATGCTAGCATGTCAGGACCTGGCTACACCGATGCCAGGACACACTTCTGAGACGGAGGTGCTGTCACTACTGGATGACTTTGCGGTAGTGCTGCTTCAGTGGGGTGAGTCCAGGAAATTTGCCTTTCCCTAAACCCCCACCATTCAAGATCCTTCTCCCCTCCTGGAATATACTAGTGTTCACTTAGAAGTAAACTGTTCATGATTCTTGTTTGTTTTTATTATCATTATTATCATTCTAAACATAACAGCATACAAAGGAAATTCCTGATCGAAACCATGCCAGGAGCCCGCCGTCCAAAGACACAACGATTGACGTACCTTCTTTCTGTCTGTAGGAAAGATCTATTCCCCATGTCAGTGACCTGCAAACCCGTTAAAGAAAACAGGATGACAGGACAACCTCAAAAGGCCCTTGACTCTTCTCGCCTAACGCATAGTGCTTCCCGGGACAGTGATGACCTCTGAGAGAGCTGTCCCTGCGCATGGGGTGTGGGCACAGGGCTGGTCTCTAATCCGGAGGCATGGGCAGGCTGTGTGTATCTGAGCTGCCAGGCTTTCTATGGAAGGAACGAGGCTGATGGTGAGCATGCAGTGCTAATTTCCAGGCTTGCTGCCCAGGGGGGAAGTCCTGCCGGAGGAGGGCTGCACCACACACAGGAGCTTTGCCACGTCCAGGGGATCGATGGGGTCCACGCCACTCACGCCCGTGCCCCCTGCACCCAGCAGGCCGCCAGGCATGTAGTAGGTGCTCAGTAAGTGCTTATTGAACTGGATGGCAAAGGGCTTCTCCTCGCTGTGTCTTCTCTGGTGTTCAGTGAGGTGAGTGCTCCAGCCAAACATTTCCCCGCACTCGTTACATCTGAATGACTTCTCCCCAGAGTGGATCTTCTGATGTTTGATGAGACAGTGATTCTGGCTAAAGGCTTTGCCGCATTCACCACATTTGTAGGGCTTCTCCCCGGTGTGGATGCGCTGGTGCACGATGAGGGACGAGTGGCAGCTGAAGGCCTTCCAGCAGCGGCTGCAGTCAAAGGGCTTCTCACCCGTGTGGATGCGCTGGTGCACGATGAGGTAGGAGTGGGAGCTGAAGGCTTTCCCACACTCATTGCACTTGAAGGGCTTCTCGCCGCTGTGGATGCGCTGGTGCACGACGAGGTAGGAGTGGCAGCTGAAGGCCTTGCCGCACTCAGAGCACTTGAAGGGCTTCTCGCCCGTGTGGATGCGCTGGTGCAGGGTGAGGCGTGAGCGGCTGCTGAAGGCCTTCCCGCACTCACCGCACTTAAACGGCTTGTCCCCATTGTGGATCTTCTCGTGCACAGTCAGGGACGAGTGGCAGGTGAAGGCCTTGCCGCACGCGCCGCACTGGTAGGGCTTCTCGCCAGTGTGGATGCGCTGGTGGCGCGTCAGGTGCGTCCTCTGGTTGAAGGCCTTGCCGCACGCGCCACACTGGTAGGGCTTCTCGCCCGTGTGCACGCGCAGGTGCATGTTGAGCAGCGAGCTGCAGCTGAAGGCCTTCTCACAGGCGCTGCACTTGTAGGGCCGCTCGCCTGTGTGGATGCGGTGGTGCACGTTCAGGGACGAGTGGCAGCTGAAGGCCTTCCCGCATTCACCACAGAAGAAGGGCTTCTCCCCGGTGTGGATGCGCTGGTGCTCCAGGAGGTTGGTGCTCCAGGTGAAGGCCTTGCCGCACTCGTGGCACTTGTAGGCCTTCTCCCGGGCGTGCCACCGCCGGTGCAGGGTCAGGGCTGAGCTCTGCCCGAAGGCTTTCCCACACTCGGCACACGGGAAGAGGCCTTCTCCGGCGGCCACGCACCGCCGCCCGCTTGTCGGAGGGTGTTCGCTGCGGTCGCCGGCCCTGGCCAGGCCTCTCCCCTGGCCTCTCCGTGGCTTAAGGGCCACCTCACCAGGACGGAAACTCTCTGTAGGCCCGTCAGGAGGGTCTTCTTCTGCAGGAATGTTCTGGGGGGTGAAGAGGGTGCACCCAGGGGGTAAATCCTTCTCAGATGCCTTGTGGCCCTGCCAGTGCCCCTCTGGGCAAACATCCCCACAGCTGCCCGGTGCTGGCCTCTGGAGCACAGCTTCACCCCTGGGCACAGCAGCCCATGGGCCCTCGCGGGCCCTCCCGTCACCCAGAAGGGGGCTGTGGATGCTGGACCTCACCAGTGGCTTGGTGATCGGCTCCTGGCATGGCTCTTCCTTGTAAATGCCCTGCTGTTGACACCACTTGTCCTCCACCCCAGGCCCGGGCTCCCCTCCTATAAGGAAGAGGAAATGCAATCTTCCATAAGCAGGTGGAGGTGTGACAGAACTCAAACTGAGGTCTGACGGCAGAGGGGGGGTTCGGACAAGCACAGAAAGGAGAGCCAGGCCAACAGCCAGAGCGCTAGAAGGCCTGAGGGGCAGAGCCCAGGGGCAGGCATCCCTGGTGAGACGAGCCCACCAGGCGGAGGTGGGGGAGATGGAACTCCAGACAGAGCCAGGGGGTGAGGGACGGAGCAGGGTCATGGGGTCTGCCAGTTGGACACGATTTACTTATTGAAACATCGACTGAAAGACCACTGTGTGGGAACCGGGTCGGGGCCAGGTGTGAACACAGGGTAAGCACAAGCCCAGAAATGAGAATTACATGCAAATTCCCCGTGGCGCCAGAAGGGAAGAGTGTCCCCTTACCGCCTCTCTGGTTTTTGCTTTAGAAGGCTTACAACTTACAACTGTAAATGTATGCTCTGGCCCTGAGACATATACACATCTTTTCATTTTTTAAAGATTTATTTATTTGACAGAAAGAGAGAGAGAGAGAGAAAGCACAAGAAGAAGGAGTGGGAGAAGCAGACTCCTCAAGGAGCAGAGAGCCTGACACGGGGCTGGATCTTAGGACCCTGGGATCATGACCTGAGCCAAAGGCAGAGGCTTAACCGACTTAGCCGCCCAGGCCCCTGTACATCTCTTTAAAAGCTAAATCCATCTCTTGTTAGCTTTGCATCTCAGGAGGACCATCTGCCTGGGAGCCACCTCTGCAAACTATGATCCCCATCTCTCCCCACCCCCAGGCTGACACTGCTCTCTTCTCGGTGAGGGAGGCCCTGGACCCCAGTTCCACACATACTCCACACCCCCTTGCATCCAACAGGTGCCACTAGTGACATGTTCCCAGAGGTGCGGACATGACTGCTGTTTCCCGGCAGTCGAAGGCAGATGTCTGCCTGGTTTGCTCACCGCTATATTCCCAGCACAGGTCCCCATGCATAGTCGCTGCTCAATGTGGGCATTGAAGGAAGGAAGGGAAGCGGGACCACGTGGGGGTGGGGGTAGGGGAGTGGTCCTGGGAGGCAGGAGTCTGCATATCCTTCCACTGTGTGCCCGACTCACCTGAACAAGCCCCTCCAGGGACTTCTCCAGGCATCCACCATGGCTCCTCGCCTCGTTCCAGGTGGGAGATCACATCCGGCTTGCAGACAGGGGGCCCTGCTTGCAGGGGGAAGTGGTGTGTGCCATACCCGGGGATGTGGGTCTTACATGTAGAACCCAAACTAAAGTGTGCACGCTGAGGACCCCATGGGGTCTGTCTTTCTCCCTTGGAAAGCTCCAGGGCACGCTGGGCTCCCAGGCCCCTGTCCACCCCCTCCCTTTCTTCTGGTCCCACCTCAGGACCAGCCCCACTGCCAGGCAAGGATGCTGGTAGTAGTTACCATGCACTGCCCAGCCCCAACCGGGGCACAGCGGCCACATCTCCCACATCCTGCAGGGCCTGCACCAGGGCTGGCACTGAAGGGAGGCTTGGTAATAGCTATACTACGGCAGAACGCCCAGACTACACACCAAGCTTCCGGGAGCTGTCTTACCCAGGGCAAGAAGGTTCTGGTAGTTCTCCAGCATCACGTCACGGTACAAGGCCCTCTGAGGGGAATCTAGCTGGCCCCACTCCTCCTGGGTGAAGTCCACAGCCACATCCTTGAAAGTCACCGATTCCTGGAATGACATGCACATTCTCATTCGCCCAGGATGGGAGTGATTCAGACTGTGTTCATGGTTCCAAGGGAGCCACATGTCGACTGAGGACCTCAGGAATGAAGGGTTAGCCTCAGGTGACCTTCTCCTGTGTATGGAAGGTTGTGCTATGGGTGCCATCTGTCATACACACCACGCCTGGGCTGGGCATCACCATGCAGACCCTGGCCTTCTGGACTGGGATGGCCAAGCTAACTGGCCAGCCTGGATCCAGGTGCCTCTATGGGCTGGAGTCTCCCTGAGTTTTGGGTAAGATGCTATGCTTCCAGCATTAAGAATGTCAAATTTAAGAACTTGAAAGAATAGTACAAAGAACCCAGAAACACCATTGTGAAAAGATCCTACTCTGGACAGGAAGCCATTATCACACCCTAAGGAAGGAAACTCTGTACTTATCAGCAAGTTCTGTCAGCAGTCGACCAAGGGAGCCACTCTGTGTTCTTTCTGCTTGCTTCCCACACCATCCCTTCCCACAGGACCCCTGCTCCCCCCCTCCCCAACTCTGGTCACTGACACTTGCACACACTCCTCCTCTAGAACCCCTCTAGGCTCTTCTGCTGATCTGGGCTGCTCATCCACTCTGGAGCCTCCAGGCTGCCACCCCAATGTTCCCTTCACTCTTTACCCTCCAATCCCACTGTGGATCCCCCTTGCCAGCAAATAACCTCTCAAAGCCCATCTGAGTGCTGACCTAAGGTGGCAAGGGTGGTTGTCTCTTCAAAGATGTGGGCGCCATGGAACCCTGGTGTAAAACCCCTGGTGTAAACCCAGGGCATTACATTAGATATAAGAACAAAGAAAAAGTCAAGTGGAGGAGGCCTGGCTCCCACCTTGTGTTTGCTGGGAGTGACTGGCATGTGGCCAAGCTCCCAGAGGTCACCGGACTTCTCTGGAAACCTTGGATTTGCATCAGCATCCATGGTCAGGCACGGGGGTGTGGAATTTCAAACCCTGAGAGGCCTTGTGCCTACCAGGAGGTTGGGAAGAGTGGGGACATCCTTTGGGGTCACAAGAGCTTTGACCTTCAGCTCTAAAAGTGGCTTATACCTTTCTTTTCTTTTTTTCTAAGATTTTATTTATTTATTTGACAGAGAACCAGAGAGTACAAGTGACGGAAATGGCAGAGGCAGAGGGAGAAGCAGGATACCCGCTGAGCAGGGAGCTGGATGTAGGGCTCGATCCCAGGACCCTGGGATCATGACCTGAGCCAAAGGCAGATGCTTAACAACTGAGCCACCCAGGGGTCCCAGCTTATACTTTTAGATTGTTCTCAAAGCTGCTGCAGAGTGAACTCTGTCCCCCTGAAATTCCTATGTGGAAGCCCTCCTTTCCAACATGATTGTATTTGGAGACAGGTCAATAGGAGGTAACTGAGGTTATGTTGGGTCATAAAAGTGGGCCCAGATCTGACAAGCCTCCCAAGAAGGGGACAGAAGAACTCTCTCTTTCCATCATGCGTTCTGAGGAAAGGAGGCCTGAGGGCACTGTGAGAGCCAGAGAGAAAGACGCAGAAACTGGACCCTGCTGACACCCTGATCTCAGACTTCTCACCTCTGGAACTGTTAGAAAATCAATTTCTGTTGTTCAAGCTGCCAAGTCAGTGGTATTCTGTTATGGCAGTCGGAGCTCAGCCAACATAAAACAGTAGGAAAGATATAGCCCATCTTTATACCATACACAAAACGCAGCTCCAGGTGCAGCAAGGATCTACATGTGGAGGCTTCTGGGAGACAACTCTGTAAGTCCCTGGACGGCATGACAGCAAACTCAGAAGCCAGGAGGAGAAGATTTACATTTACTCCATGAACGTTTACATTTTCTACACGCAGCACTGATAAATTGCTAAGAAGAAAGAAAAAAAAATGGGCATAGGGTAGAAGCAGACAATTCACAGAAGACTGGCAAATGATTAAGAAGCACAGGAGGAGGGATCCCTGGACGGCTCAGCCGTTTGGTGCCTGCCTTCGTCCCAGGGCGTGGTCCTAGAGTCCTGGGATCGAATTCCACATTGGACTCCCTGCATGGAGCCTGCTTCTCCCTCTGCCTGTGTCTCTGCCCCCCTCTCTCTCTCTGTGTCTCTCATGAATGAATGGATGAAATCTTTAAAAAAAAAAAAAAGCAGCAGCAGCACACGAGGAGACAGTCACACTAGACATCCAGAAATGAGAAATAAAGCAGAAAGATACCATTTCACATGCAGCAGAGTGGCAAAATATGTAAAGCCTGGAAATACCAAGTGTGGACTGGTCTATGAGGAAATGAGATGGTCTTACATCGCTGGACAGGTGTAAGGGGGACATCCATTCTGGAAAGCAAAACCTATTCTACTATCTCTAGTAAAGCTGAGAGTGTGTGTTCCCTGTGCCTCAAAAGTCCACTATGAGATTCCTATCCAGTCTAGAGAGGCTGAGTAAACACCGGAAACGTCCTGAATGCCCATCAGTAGGGATGGCATACACCAGGATACCATGCAGCATTGAAAACGAACGTGGTGGAGTAACGTGGGGAGCTTTTTTTTATTTTATTTTATTTTATTTTTTTTATGATAGTCACAGAGAGAGAGAGAGAGAGGCAGAGACACAGGCAGAGGGAGAAGCAGGCTCCATGCACTGGGAGCCCGACGTGGGACTCGATCCCGGGTCTCCAGGATTGCGACCTGGGCCAAAGGCAGGCGCCAAACAGCTGCGCCACCCAGGGATCCCACGTGGGGAGCTTTTAAGAGCATGGCAGTGAGTACAAGAGCAGGCCGAGGGCAACCAGGCCTGGTGTGATGTGACACAGTCCCGTGTGCAGTTTACAAATACTCATATGTACATCTAGCTCCATTCTCTGGTGCGTAAGGGCATAGGCTCCAAGCTCAGTAGCCTGGGTGGGCCCCCTACTCCCACCCTTACTAGCTATGTGAGTTGTGCAGCGGTGTGTGTGTGGGGGGCTCTGTTCTCTTGTTGCCAATAACACTGGTGTCATTGCATCACAGTGAGGATTAAAGAGTTAGTATGTAGGAAGCCCTCATCCAAGGGCCTGGCAGATGGCAGGTGTCCAATGGTGTTTGCTGTTAGTCACCGTCCTCTGAAATTGTCACACACTGAGGAGGGCAGGAGAGGAGGGAGACAGGGATGGGGAGGGAGCAGGGGGGAGGATGCAAAAAACATCTTGCATTTACCTGTAAGGTTTTGGGTTGTTTATTTTTTTAAGATTTTATTTATTGGGATCCCTAGGTGGCGCAGCGGTTTAGCGCCTGCCTTTGGCCCAGGGCGCGATCCTGGAGACCCGGGATCGAGTCCCACGTCGGGCTCCCGGTGCATGGAGCCTCCTTCTCCCTCTGCCTATGTCTCTGCCTCTCTCTCTCTCTGTGACTATCATAAAAAAAAATAAAATAAAATAAAAAGATTTTATTTATTGAGAGAGAGAGAGAAAGTGAGAGAGCATGAGTGAGTGGTGGGGAGGGGCAGAGGAAGAGGGAGAAGCAGGCTCCCCACTATGCAGGGAGCCCAATGCAGGGCTTGATCCCAAGACCCTGATCTCAAGGACCCGAACCAAAGGCAGATGCTTAACCAACTAAGCTACCCAGGTACCCCATGGTTTGTTTTTAAAAACAATTTGTAACAAATATGACAAGATTTAGATATTAATCTTGCAAAGTAGGTACATGGAAGGCTCTTATTATTCTGTTTAAATGCTTTAAAATTTGAAAGTAAGAAAAAGCCATTCAAGGAGGAAGAAAATGCAAATTTCCAGTGGACAATAAAAGGATGAATGATTTGTCAGGAAAATGTAAATCAAAACAAAAATAAGGTCACATGTTTTCCCTATCAGAGTAGCATTAATTAAAACCTGGTATCCCGGCCATGAGGAAGCATTTTTGGTAGAAGTGGGAATTGTTATACCCTTCTGTATACTCATACCACAGAAACAAAAGTTCCTGCACAGAAGGAAGCAAATGCAAAGGTGGGTATTGCAGCGCCCAACCAAGGCCTTAGGACGGCTGGCTAAATTAGAGTACACGCATACAGGCAGACCATGGAAAATAATGCAGCCAGCCAAAGATATGCGTTGTACATTATGTTAAGTGAAAGAAGCCAGGAGGAGGCTACAGAATGTATGATCCTATTTATGTGAAACACCCAGAATAAGCAAACAACAGAGAGACAAAAAAGCAAATTAGTGGTCGCTGTGAGCTAGAATGACTGCTGATGAGCAGAGAGTTTCTTTTTGGGGTTAAGGAAATGTTCCAAAATTGACTGTGGGGATAGTTGCACTGCCTTGTGAATGCCCTCAAAACCACCGAATTGTGCACTTGCAGAGGGTGGATTTTACAGTATGTGAATTATATGTCAATTCAAACAAAAGAAAGCACTGGAATGTGTACAGTATGATCCCATTTATCAAACAACATGCTTAAGCCATGTCTGTGTATGCTGGAGTCTGTGTATGTGAACAAGGGGGCTGGTTGCCTCAGGGAAATGTGACTGTAGATGCAGGGACAGGAGGAGATTATTAACAGACTGTGCTGTGGAACTGTTACACAGCAAATACTGGTTTTGTAAGTTTAAACAAAAAAAAACTTTTCAAAGAAGAAGGAAAATCAGACGAGATCGGGCGCGTTCAGGGTGGTATGGCCATAGACAAGAAGAAGGAAAATCAAAGCAGAGTACCATTTTGTCAGCCATCCAGTCTCTTTGACCTTTACTTTCTCCAGCTAGGGAAAGGACTGGGAGCAGTGGGGTCTCCTGTGGTCGAGGAGAAAATGAAGTGGAGTAAAAGTATGCCAGTCGTGGGTATCAAGGAAAAGACCCAGCGTCCCTCAGTTCCTGCTTGGCCATCTCCTACCCCACTGGCTGAGCACACCAAGAGGCTGGAGACCCTGCCCCAGGCCCTGTGAGAAGACAGCAAATAGCAGTGTGTGTCCAGAACCGTGACAGGGATGTCTACTCTCTCAGGCATTCAAGGAGGGGCAGACC